TTTTGTAGAGATGGGGTTTCACCATGTTGCCCAAGCTAGTACTCCTGAGGCTCAAGTGATCCACCGGCCTTGGCCTCCCAAAGGCTTGAGATTATAGGCATGAGTCACTACACCTGGCTTGAAAATACTCTACTGAATTCACAATTTAAGTAAGTTATGTATTTTATTTTTGAGATGAAGTTTCACTCTTGTTGCCCAGGCTGGAGTGCAATGGTGTGATCTTGGCTCATGGCAATCTCTGCCTCCCAGGTTCACGCAATTCTCCTGCCTTAGCCTCTGGAGTAGCTGGGATTACAGGTTCCTGCCCCCTTGCCTGGCTAATTTTTGTATTTTTAGTAGAGATGGGGTTTCACCATGTTGGCCAGGCTGGTCTTGACCTCCTGACCTCAGGCCTCCCAAAGTGCTGGGATTACACGCATGAGCTACCACACCCAGCCTTAAGTAATTTATATCATAAATCAGTGGAAAGCATTCCTACATTATCCGGCATAGTTAATAAGAAGCATGATGCCATTCTGATTGCTGTTCCTTTGAATGTGACCGGCTTTTTCTCTTTAGGTTTTAGGATCTTCTGTTAACTCATTGATCTGAAACTGCATATGTCTTTGAATGAACGTTTTCATCCATTATGTTGTGTACTCAGTGGGCCTTTCATTTTAGAAATCTAGGCCATTCAGGTCTGAGATGATTTCTTGAATTTTTCCTTCGATGATTGCTTTCCCTCCATTTCTCTATGTTCCATATCTCTGTAATGCTTATTTATTTATTTATTTATTTGAGACAGAGTCTCACTTTGTCACCCATGCTGAACTGCGGTGGTGCGATCTGGCTTACTGCAATTTTTGCCTCCCGGGTTCAAGTGATTCCCCTGCTTTAGCTCCTTAGCAGTTGGAAATACAGGTGTGCACCACCGTGCTTGGCTAGTTTTTGAATTTTTAGTAGAGATGGGGTTTCACCATGTTGGTCAGGCTGGTCTCAAACTCCTGACCTCATGATCTGCCTACCTCAGCCTCCCAAAGTGCTGGGATTACAGGCATGAGCCACTGCACCCAGCCCTCTGTAATGCTTCTTAATTGAATATTAGTCTTACTGGACCCTTTAGCTTTTAAAAAATTTTTTCCAGCTTTTGGGGTTCTTTTCACAAGCTATTTTCTCAATTTTATCTTCCAACTCATTGATTAAAGTTAATGGTTATCATATTTTAGATGTTCTATTCTCCAATGTTCTTTTTTTCTTTTCTTTTTTTTTTTAAGACAGGTTTCACCATGTTGGTCAGTCTGGTCTTGAACTCCCGACCTCAGGTGATCCGCCCGCCTTGGCCTCCAAAGTGCTTGGATTACAGGCGTGAGCCACCGCGCCTGGCTCCAACGTTCTTTTTTAAAAAGAACCTGTTCTGATTTCATTGACACAACATTGTTATAGTGCTGAGAAAATGTATTCTCTATTTAAAGTTTAGATTTTGTTTTGTCCTGTTCTAGGCACCATAGCTGGACTTACAGGCGCACCTCCACCCCTGGCTAATTTTTGTATTTTTAGTAAAGATCGGGTTTTGCCATGTTGGCTAGGCTGGTCTCAAACTCCCGACCCTCACATGATCCACCCGCCTTGGACTTCCAAAGTGCTTGGGATTACAGGTGTGAGCCACTGCACCCAGCCCAGATCAATTTTTTTTAATGGGCAAAATATTTAAACAGATACTTCACAAAATAAGATAGATGAATGGACAATAGACTAGTAAAAAATGGGCCAGGCGTGGTGGCTCACGCCTGTAATCCAAGCACTTTGGAAGCCAAAGCGGGCGGATCACCTGAGGTCGGGAGTTCAAGACCAGCCTGACCAACATGGTGAAGCCCTGTCTTTAAAAAAAAAAGGCTAGTAAAAAATGTTCACCATCATTAAGTCATCATAGAAACGCAAATTTAAACCATAATGAAATACCATTTCTACTCCTAGGTGGAAATAAGATAAATAAAAGCACATGTCCAGGCTGGATGCAGTGGTTCACCCCTGTAATCCCAGCACTTTGGGAGGCTGAGGTGGGCAGATCATTTAAGGTCAGGAGTTCAGGACCAGCTGGGCCGTCTCTATAGAAAAAAAAAAAAACAAGAAAGCTGGGCACAGTGGCTCAAGCCTGTAATCCCAGCACTCTGGGTGGCTAAGGCAGGCAGATCACCTGAGATTAGGAGTTCGAGACCAGCCTGGCCAACATGGCAAAACCTCATCTCTACTAAAAATACAAAAATTTGGCGGGCACAGTGGCTCAAGCCTGTAATCCCAGCACTTTGGGAGGCCGAGGCGGGTGGATCACGAGGTCAAGAGATCGAGACCATCCTGGTCAACATGGTGAAACCCCGTCTCTACTAAAAA